AGTGTTGATTCAGGTGATCGTTTGTCCCAAGACTGTGAAATAATGCCCTGTAATACGGCATGTGTGTGCTTGTGGGAAGCTGGTGCCCAGTGTACATTATGGGGTAAATAATTATAAGCTTATGTGTTAATGCGGCCATATTTAAATGATGACTCAAGTTTTTGAGGTTACTTTATGTCCTAACGTAGTGCCGCTTGCCGCCTATTAGGCTAAATGCGGACATGTAACTGCATATGACTTGCAACATTTGACGCATAGTCGCAGTGTATCGTCTTTCCTTATGATTTGGACGACCGGAATGCGATCAAAGGAAATTCAGCCAGCGCAATAGCCTTTATACCGAGCATGTCATTTATCAACCTTTTTTGTTGGGTCTGGTAGCTTGCGATAGAAACCGTCCTATAACAATTGCAGTGCAACTATTATTAAGTGATAGTCGACTTCCCGCAGCACCAACTGCACGTTCCCTCTTTCTTCATCCATCTCTAATGCTAAACTACAAGTTCAAGATTATCGGAGCTCAAGTTCTAGAGTAACATGGTAATCTCCTTATCTGAAAGCTGAATAATTCACGTTTCGTAGTATCCCATCGTACAAAAAACGCGATGTTTTGTCCCCTATTAAATCACTTGTGTGAAATATTATTTACAAAGGAAGGGTGCGCGTGAGAGAACTGCAATCAACCGCATTGTCGAGTTGAAAAGTCGTATGAGAGAAATTTTCAAAGTAAAAATTCAGAGAGATAGAATGAGACGAGCATTTCTTGCCCCAGCAGGAAGAGTAATAACATACCATAAGTCAGTACCAGCGAAAGTTGGCAGCTGCCAACAACCAGCCGCTGCTAAAGCAGTGTAACATATGAACACTTTGTGACCTGTTGTTAGTGAAGAAAGAATACTGATTGGCGTCCCGTCGTCTGTAAGTCATTGGATTGAGTCTCATATAAATATACTATAATGATGACAGTAACGTTTGTTTTAATCATTGCATCTAAGTTACAGTAAAGTGTGCGGTTATGAAATACAACTATTATTATGAAAATTGTCCAAGGAAAAATGAAATTGATGCCTATCTTCGTGCTAAAAGAATACCCGAATTATTACAGAGCTTGACTTGCTTGGTTTTATATAGTCAACCAGGTAAACGGGCCTTTTTGGTCGTTGAGTTGACATACACCTTTGTTTGTATCACGATAAAATTTTGTCGCAATGCAAATCTTAAGTTATTGTGTATTTCTATTCACTGCCGCAGCCTTTTATAGCCATTAAAACTCAATTTTTAAAATGAAAAAAGCTTTGCGGTAGAAAGTTGTTTATGAGCCGTTTAGTTTGAACTTCAAAGTACACTTTTTACACATCCCCAATAGAAAAACGCTAGCGCCGTCGCGCTACTCTACGTGCACGTGATTAGCCCCCCCCCACTTGCACTTGTCACAGGGTGCCAAGATTTTTTTCTGAATAGACTGGATCCAACTTGGCCCAGCTTTCGACCGCGGAATGCCTGCGCCAGCTAGAGGGGGGGATGGTTTCCACCGCGTCACAGGGGGTGACGCCGACTAGGAACGCTTCTCGCATGTCGCCGGGGGCACATCTATGCATGCGCGCAACGCAGGGACAGAATAGCGCGACGATGCTAGGCGACTTTGTGCGGCGCTGGCGTTTTTCTATCAGGGATATTTGTTTTTCTACATGTATAAAAGCTGCAGGTTATACACATCTAAATACAGAGAGGAGAGACACAAGAAAATGCGGGTAGATTAATGCAGTCTCTTTCGGACGTTCTCTGCTATCGTCCTGTCACTCCTAATCGTGACTACCAGCTGTGACTGGATTCACAGTCACGTATATATGTGTACGATTACGGTGCATATATTTCACACACTGTGTCAAACACATTGATCATAAGCACTTGATCGAAAGGAAGTTCATCAATGACTCAACATATGTCCTTCGCTGTCACTGAAAATCGGCCATTTATATAAATAGGAATGGGCTCTCAAGCGTTCATCGGCTTCTCGAATTCCTGCCAGCACCAGCCCCGTCTGGCCCCGTCGAAATACCCGGGGCCACGCGGGGCAATCCGGGCCTATGGTGAACTTAATTTATTGTACAAATTTTTCAAAATCTATTTTTTCGTTAAAAAAAGTATCAATAACCATTAGTGTGCATCTCTTCTTTGATAAAACAATCAAGCTGGGGATTGAAACGGAAAACGCGGGCGCTAGCTGTGAAAATATTTTTCATTGGTTGGGCTTAACGGGTTGAAATCCCCGTTCTCTAGCCCCATCTAATTCAATCCACGTGCCACTGAATTCGACGGGGCTAGAGAACGGGAATTTCAACCC